TGTCAATAATATACATAAATATTATAGAAACTAATTATTATGAATAATATCTTAATTTTAAAAATTATTAGGTCAGCAACAGAGTTTAGTCTTAGGTTGTTTCACAACGGGGTGCTACGTATTTCTTCCTTTTGGATCCCTCTTCTACAGAGGAGTCTCCTTGTCTTTCCTCTATTCATATCGTCTAACCTTAGCCTGATTTCCATCTAGTTTTAAGACAGGGTCAATGCTTTGATTTCGAAAGTTACCTTTTGATGTGCTAAATTTACTTTAATTAGTGCATTAGTTATTTAAGTAATATAATGATTAATAGAGTATCAAACTTATAAAAATTGTAATTAATTAAGTACTAAAAAGAATAAATTCAAGATTTATTTGAATAATAAAAAATGAAAGAATTTTTAATTAAAAATATGAAAAATAATTAAAATAAAAGTATCAAAGTTATGAGGTTTTAAGGCATCTTGTTTTACTGTAATCAATCAATATAAATTTTAAATTAATATGTTTCTAAGATTAATTCATTTAGTGTAATTACAAGCAAGGTTGGTTCTTCTAAATTAATTAATTAGTTTTTTCAAGTTAAGTTAAATTAATTTTTTTCATAATTTTAAAATTAGTCATATTTTTATATAATTTAAAATAAACAGATGAATATTAAGTCATGTAAAAACCTCTAGTTTAGCAAAAGAAGCTTCTAACTCTCTTTTCTCACTCCATTAGCATATATAAGGCTAATTACTTCTCAATCTTATATAATCTAACACACAATTTATATTATTATTGGCTTAATTTATATAATTCTTTCTTAAATTTATACATAAATCACATAATTACAAAACATGATCAATCTTTTAAAACATTAAGTTGGATAATAAAAATTCAACATCAAATAATTTTAATTGAAAAAATAAAAATCTTAAAATTTATATTAAATTAATTAAGTCACATTGTAGTTCTAGTGAAATAAATTAATTCATATTAAAAATAATAAAATCTAAAATAATCATGATGAACAAAAATTCACAATATAATAAAGAAATTAAATTAAAAAGAAAACTCAATTTATGAACATTAACTTTTTTTGTTGATGAATTCTTTTCTTGTTTCACTAACTTTTAGTATTCAAAAGTTATATTAAATACTGACTAATCCAGAGTTGAATTACGTTAAACTCTAAAGGAAAAAAGTTTTAAAATACTTGTTTTTTCATTTATAAAATTCAAACTAAATTTTATTAAAACGAATCAAATTCCTTCTACTAATACTAATAAATTATTAGTTATTAATAAATTTTTACTGTTTCTGGTTAGTCTCCAAAATACCGGGTTGCCAAAAGCCTCTCAATCAGATAATAAATGAATAATTATCGGAATTCAAAAAGACTAATTGAAATACACGTGGGAAGCACACAAAAATAATAAGATATTAAGAGCATATTTGGATTAGTTTGTAAGAGTTTTTTTTTTGGTATTATTTATAATTGATAAATTTAATTTTTATTAAAAAAATTTAAAAGTTATTTTAAAAATAAAAAAAATAAGTAAAAAGTGAGTAAAAAAATTTATAAAAAATATAAATTTAAAATTTTTTAAAATTGATTGTTTAAGATTTTTTTAAAATTAAAAAAAAAATAAAAAAATTATAAATTTTTAATAAAAAAATATAAATTATAAAATATAAATAATAAAAAGTTCAAATTCTGACAAATTAGGCCAAACATGATATAAAGGTGAAATGCTGAAAATCACCCCAAGGGGTTGTTACCGCACGCCTAAGTGTCGACATCATCACTGAGTCCGTGAATGTCCTGTCAGTGTCGGGAATTTTGGGTGAAAATGTAATTTTTGTTATTTATTGGTGAAACTGTTCTGGTCCCTCATCTTTTACCAATTGAGACTTTGATCCTTACAGTTCTATTTCTTCCAAGTCAGTCTTTTCTTGTACAAAGAATGAAAACTGTATAAATCAAGTAAGATCTAATAAAAATCATCCAAATATTAATAATATTAATAATATCAAAGTAAAAATTTCACATTAATATATATATATTCAACTCATCACCTTCCAAACCTTTTCTTCTCAAAGTTAAAAAATATTTCATATTTTTTTATAAAAAATAAAGATTATCTTAAAATAATAAAATTAAGATTATATATGAATTCTTAAATTACGGTCTGTAAATAGAAGCACATCATATAATACCATATACAAACGAAAACTATATTCATTTATAATAAATATAGACAATAAAATATAAAAAGTCATATATACCTAAAGACTATAATATCAATTGTCATGAAGGTATAAATAAAATTACTAACGTAAAAAGAAAGCTGTTGTAAACATTCTAAACCATTTGACATTCTCAACTGCTATGCAAGTTTCTTGGAGAAAGGAGGCAGTTCAATAGACAATAGTCCTCACCTACTGAATATTGTACTAAAAAAGAGATACACTATTCCAAAGGGCAGTTGGAGCCTTATCCATGGGATCACTTAAACTGTGCCCATTTTAATCCAAAAGAAAGTTTGAGTCTCCATTAACCCCTTGATCATGCCACCCTCAATTGAAGTATATGTACTGTGAATAGTCAAGCATAGCTAGCCTACTACCATGCTATTATCCTCTATAAATGGAGGCAAAACTTAATAAAAAAATATTGAGAGAGTTCAAGCAAAAACCCTAAAAAATGAGGGATAAAAGAACTTCCACGAATGAGAGAAAACTCACAACTTTGTTCTTTCTTCCTAATTGCTGAGGAGGAGAGAGGCAGTAGTTACAGAGGAAAGCCTAATAAGAAAGGAGGGATGGTACATGGCCAGGGTTAAATATTTTTTAAAATTTTTAAAAGGATATTTTATTTAAAACATAAAAGAGAAACATAAAAATAGTAAAATATATTTCGAAAGCTACATTAGTGTTTGTGTTGAACTCTTCCTTCATCAATTGTCTTTTTTAATTATTAATTTACTATATTATTTTTTTATACACATGATTGTGGATTTACATACTATTCTTTCTTTTATAAATCGCTTTCCATCCTTCTTCGAAGTTCATCGATTGAATGCAAAAGTTTTAGGTTGAATATTAAAATCATTTAGGCTACATTAGGTAAAAAGAAATTGAAGGTTAAAAAGGGGGAAATTTTGATTAAAACAACCTTATATTATCTTCACCTTCTAAATTCTGCAAACATATAGAGATCTCTAACTAATGGTAGTGGGCACCAGAACAAGACATCGAGTGCGCTAGTGTTTTCCAGTAGACTTGAAAGAAAGAAAAATAAAAAATAGAATTACCTTTCTTTTCTTTTTTTCTTTTTTTTTTTTTTTTGGCCATCGAAAAATCGAACTACCGAGAAAGAAAGAAAAATGGGAAAAGCATGGGCAAATTAGTCGACCCTTCTAGTTTGGGGTAGGTACACTTTTGCCCAACAATCACAATAATGTGCAAGCAGCCCCCCTTTTTTTGCTTGTATACAATTTCAACAGCCACGTGTGATATTTCTTTGTTTTGTTATTTGCATCCGATGTTTCCGTTATAAACTACAACTGGACATAGCTGGGAAAAAGTGCATTTAGCTTAGCTGGGAAAATGTTCTTGAGGAACAATCAATATGGGTTTGTTTTTTTTTTTTTTTGAACCAAGGGTAAGTTTACATGGGGGTAGAGGGAAGAGATTGCTATTTCCCGTGCTAGAACTCAGGATATCTTGCCCATCACAAAGGCTACTTAACTAGTAAGCCTGTGAGGTGATTAATATGAGTAAAAAATATATAAATTATCTCAAATTCTTTAACCTTTAAAAAGGTAAATCAATTTTTATTATAAAATTAATGCTATGATTAATCGAGCAAACGAGGGTAAAATCTAAACTGTATCTTCATGTGATTGTAAGGTCAAAAGAGCACCTAACTACTTACCATGGGAAGCAAGAATAATTTACCCAAAAGACAGCATCCACGGCAGTGCAGCCGACCTAATGGGAGGGCGGAGTGGCGCGTCGTAATTCTATAATGTTTTTAGCGGACAAGATATTCTCCAATCTCCTTTTAGTCCCTTCCCAGCAAGCAACATACGTCACCCATGAGAACTTGAGAAGCATTTTCCTTCTAGCATTTCCGTGTGGTGCAAAGGCAAAAAGCTTCACCAAAAAGCCAAAGCACATGCTTGCATTAACGTAAATAAACAGTTATCCTTTTAAAAAAATAATTCATTGAGAATATTATTTTATAAAGAAATCTAACTAGATGCGGAGTAATTTTTGTTAATTCTTTTAATTCAAATGAGAAATGTAACATTTTGTTTAATTTCAATAGATTTAATTTTTTTATTGAATAAAATAAAAATATAAAAATAAATTAATAAAATTTTATATTTATTTTTAATTAATTATTATTTAAATAAATATTTTTATTTAATAAAGTTGTAACTATTATTATTATTATTTTTTTAAAACAATGGGAATTTTTCTTGGGGGGATGGGGAAGGGACAACTTCGGATTGAACCCAAATTCAACTAATTCTAAGCACGTTCTGCCTCGCAGGGAGGCCGGTTGGCCTGTAACTAATATTTTAAAATAAAAGTAAAATAAGATTTATCATCCTCAAAATGAAATATAAATAGTTAAGATTTAGTTGGAGAGTGTTAGGCTAAAATTATAGTTATAAATTTTTTTAATCTTGTAATATTTTAAAAATATATATAATATATTTAATTTATTTAATATTTATTTTAATTAATATTTTATATATTTTTTGAAAATTATAAAGAATATAAAAACTTAAAATTAAAATTCTCAAATAAAATCTAAATTTAGATGCCTTAAATTAAAAATTACAACATTAAAAGAAGGAAGTATTATACGTATCTAGTCATTTGAATGCAGTATGGATATGGTCAAATGTATTCTAAGATTTTCATTATCAAAGAATTTCCCTTTTCTTCTCTTTTCCTTCCATAAATTAAATCCCCTCACAAATTCAAACAAAGACTTACCAAAAGAAAGAACGACCAATAATCTCCCTTTTTCTTCAATATATAATAAAATAATGCAATTCCATTGTTATATTAACAAGATTCAGTATATCTCAGCCCAGTCTATGCATCAGCATTCACCAAAACCATTTCCCCTTGTCCCGTTGTCCCCATGTAAATACCAAAACTTTCCCCTCCATACCCAGAAACAGACCATCTTTTCACTCATTTCAGTTACCACTTTTTTCTGGATTTTGCCTTCTCTCTTCTTTTGATGAACCATGGCTTCTATGCTGTCTTCACAAGGGGTGGTTTTAGCCACCGCCATGGCAGTATCCGGCACCGTCCTCCTCCTCGCTTTCCGCCTGCAAAAGTCTCTGCCACCTGTCCAATTCCTTGATCAAATCCCTCAGCCCTCACAACAAGTCCTCCGCTCTTGCATCTCTTCTGGTACCCCAAATGATATTAATTTTTCGTCAGTTAATATAATTTGTGCACGAAATAGTTCTGTTCTGCTAACGTTATTGTTGGGTTTTGTTTCTGTGAAGAAGGGGGGAAGAAGAAAAAGAGGAAGAAGGTGCACTTTGCAAAGGATGTGGTGGATCCGAGAGGCAACGGAGAGGAGTTCCGGCGGCAGCTGAAGAGTGGTGGCGGTAGAATCGGTGGCAATTTTCCTGCGTTGAAGAAGATTGGCGGCGGTGGTGGTACAGACAGGGAAATGCCGGCGAACAGAGTAGTTCTGTACAATGCAATTCTCAGGGATCGTGTGGTTCAACGATTGGCCTACTCCTGTTGAGGATTGATTTTTATTTTTTTAACAGGGTACATATTGTGTGTATATGGGTATGTTTTTTTTTTTTTTTTTTTTTTTTTTTTTTTTTTTTTT